GCCACGGCACTCACTCTAGCCCAGGCAAGAGAGTGAGACTCTGTCTCAAAAACAAAACTAAATAAATAAAATACACACTGTTCACCAAAGCAGGTGCCAGGAAGGAACGGAAGGTCCAGATAAATGTGAAGGGCAATAATAAGGCCGGACAGAGCCCACATTCCACCCCAGAGCTCCCCACCCTCCAAGCCGGGGCTGCAGCTTATCAGCTGGGTGGCACCACCTCTCTGTGTCTGTCACTGTGTCTGCTCAGCCGGGACCGGCCTGCAGACACGGTGAACGGGGGTCTTTGGGGGCCTCCCCCTCCACCCCGTGACATTGCCCCACGTGGTTCTTCCGAGCAGGTACCGGTGTGCGAAACGGCCTGGGTCATGTGTTTGCAAACTTCGCCCCCAGCCTTCATCCCCACCCGAATCTTAGCTGCTCTGCCGGTTCGGTCCGAGGCTACATCCTAGCGACAGGGCCTGGCAGAAGGTTCCGAAGGAGTGAGGGGAAGGTGCCTCGGGGGTCCGGTGACCCGGGGTCAGGCAAAGCGTCTTAGTGCGGTGTCCCCAACAAGGGACACTCGCTGCAAGACCAGGAGGCGCTTTGGGGCTGCTCTGGGAAGGGCCGTGCAGGGCTGCAGCTCCTAAAACACAGCTGCACGTGGCACCGCCAGAGGCACAGGCTGCGTGCAGGGGGAGGGGACACGTTGTTCCGGGCACAGTCCCCGGCCGGACTCCGCCCCCTCCCCAGGCCAGGCCAGGCCTGCTGTTTATCCTCCCGGGGACACAGCGGCAGCAGGAACAACATGTAATTGATAACAAGCCCGGCGCCGGCCAAGGGCTCGCCATTGGGTCAGCGTGCAAATCACGGGGGTGGCGGCGGGTGGGGGCCGCCCTTCAAAATAAGAGTCTCCGCTCGCCGCGCGCCACCCGCAGGCCCCCAAAGTCGCCCGAGTCGCACCTGTAGGGCCGCGGGGTCGCCCCACGAGCCACCTGGTCCTCAGGGGAAGAGGGGAAAAGCTCAGACATTCGGGGGGGGGTCGTCTCGCGGGAGGAAAACGGCTCTCCAGGAGAGGGAGCTCCTAACCCTAACCCTAACCCCACGCTGGGGGGGAGGGGCGGAGAGGGAACAGGAGCATGCAAGGTGGGGGTGGGGGGGTCCCTCCTCTGTCACCGCTTTGACGACGTTGAGTCCAAGGGGCTGCGGGACCCGGGCGGGGGCCGGAGCGTCAGACGCGCGAACGGTGCGGGGAGGGCGCGAGTTTGCGTCGTGCGACTGCGTGTGCGGGGCGGGGCGCGGCGGCCGTGCGGAGGGGACCCGCCGTGGAGCCCCTCCCCGCCCCCACC